ACTCAGTCTCAATTTTTGGACGACTCACGAGGACTTGTATTCTGTCGTACTGTTGATGATACCCAAAGCTTTCATCAAACAATGAAGATCATGCATCACAATGCCAAGATGCTTGAAGATGATCAGAAGAAAAATGAAGTGTCCTGGCGTGCAGGAGGTACTCCTGCTGAAACTTGGATGGCTGCCACAACCTCATTCATTCATGGCATTGATTATCCTTTCGTTGATGTCATCATCTTTGCTGGTTTGCCTTACAACTTCTATCACTTCATTCAAGGTGCAGCACGTGGTGGAAGAGGTGGACGTCCTTGTATGGTCATCGTGCTATACATTCCATCAACATTCAAGCCTCTTGAACTTGGAACAAAGGATACTCAGCTTCAGCAAGCCATGCAAGATTGGGCTTTAAACACATCTACATGTCGACGCTCACTCATTTCTCAGATCATGGATGGTGATATCAGCACTTGCTCTACCCTTCACAAGTATGAGCACTGTGATGTTTGTGCACCTTCCACTACAGTCACCAACATTATCCATGACTGCTTTCAGCAATCATGTGCAGCTACCCCACTTCTCGCATCATCAAGTTCTGGTGATGATGATGATGACATTGACTATTTTGCGACTTTTTCTCCACTGGATGATATTATTCTCAATGAAGAGCTTTGGAATGATGCCTCAGGTGCACACAATGCAAGTCCTCCCACTGTATGTATCATGTGCATCATATCATATATAAGTGGCTCATTGTTTGAATTCACTCAGTCAAGCATCTCAAATGATGCATCACCATCCTTGAATTCTTTCACATCAAATCAGTGTACAAACATTTCCTCAAGCAAGGCTTCTATCACTGCTTTGCCACAGCAGCCATTATCTGCAGCTCAATCTGTGGGTAGTGACCTTGCAGTGCGAGCAGCAAAAGTATTGTGGCAACTTAACAATCGATGCAAGCAAGAGTTGGTGGGCAAGTTGTCAACAGCAATGATTGTGCTACGAGACAAGTGTCCTATTTGCTGGGCTTGGAAGGGCTGTCTCACTAACAAACACAAATGCTTTGTTGACTGTCGCAAAGTGCTCAAGATTTCAGCCTTTATTTCTTGGGCCATGGGTTGGATCGACTGGAAGACCACATACCTCAAGCTCAGTGGTGGATACAAGTATTGCTATGCTTGCTATCTACCCATGGGTGTGAACTCACCTAAATGCCACATCGGTGACTTTTTCGACAAGAACACAAAGCGATGTCCCTTCAGTGATATTATTGTGCTTACCTTATGGGTTTGGCACAATGATAAAGCACTGTGGAAGGTGTTGTGCACTGAATTCAAGTTATCAGTATCCATGAATCAAGCAGACTATGGTCAATGGCTGATGCAGGTTGAGACAGAGAGAGAGTTTATACGGGCAATCAAGGTGTTTTTGTGGATTTATGACTTGCGTTCATTGCAGAATGTGTCAGTGTAGGTAAAAGCCTGATTACTAGCAGATTTTATGATTTCACAATTTACAGTACAATGTTTTTCTAATATTCAACAGCTTCTACTTATAGCATTGATTATATCTTTGTTATTGTGAAGATACAGTATTAAAGAATGAACCTTTTAATATGATATATGAAGCAGCAATAGTACCTGCAAAACATTCATATAGCTAGACAGTGCACAATGTCTCATCATATTGATAACATGTAAAGGTAGACAAGCTGCATGATCTCCTTTCAGTATAATAGCCAGATCAGTGGTATGTATGTGCACCTTGTAGAGCTTAGATTATGATGTTGGAAATCTGAAGGCAAAAATGTCACAAACTTCTAGCAGTCCTACCGATAAGATGTAGAGGATTATATAATGTAGTATAATATTTTCATTAATGAGTAGTATAGCTTATATAGCTTGTGTCTTTTGTAGAAGGGCTACATAATTTTATATATACATAGCTTGTAAAGGTAGCATTTACAAAATCTAGTAGATGACAGATAATCAATTAAGATGTTCATCAAATTCAGTAAGTCAGATGATGCAAAATTACAAATATTCAGTTTATATAGTACAAATAATTAAATGGCATATATAATATTAACTGTAATATAAAATAAATTCACATGACTTGCTGACATAATACTGTACAGCTCATATTGAACCTTCTATGACAGGCATCATCAAATCATTTTTCATTCTTTTCATCCTTGTTCAAAATTCTTTGATTATATATCACAGTGCGTATAACTGCTCATTTTTTTAGCATTGTCAATAAGAGATCAACAGATGCCATCCACCACCTCTGTTGTTGAGTTCGAGGCAGCTCATTCCCCAAATACTCCTGTCAAATTTCTTCAAGCTATGATTATTCAACCATGCTTTGGAAACATCCCTGCACAGATTGATGTGCAATTTACAAGCAAAAATGACTCTGGGCCATTGACAACCTTAGCAGTTCAAGTTGTTCCTTTAGGAACACATGTTGTGAAGGAAATATATCAATCAGTATGTATTCATTTAAATTTCTGTACCAACACTAATAACTATAGTAGTATGGTGTTGTCAAAAGTTCAACACAAGGAAACTGGACAAATGCTGCAGGCATGAACAACAATTATTGGTATCGCAAACATGTCACAGCCAATGAGGTCATGTCGACACGAGGAATTCCTCAGCATATACAAGATTCTGAACTTCAGCCATGGTGTATTTATGTTGGAGTTGTTGCTCATAATGAGCGTGTGGAAGGTTCGATGATGATAGTTGTAAATTGGGTGGTTCATCCATCGATGTATGCACTGTAAGTTAGGTTGCTTTGATGTTTATGAGTACTGTTACTTATTTTATAATGCAGACATGCAGATGGACTTAGAAGAGGTCCAAAGAAGGTTACTAAGTCATAAACACGATTTCATAGATGGTTATAAAACTACTTTTTAGTTTGGTTATATCAACTGGTGTTCACAAATTGCTGATCACATAGATGAGCTGCATTTATTGAGAGCTTATATGCAAAAAGTTCAAGAAAAGCAGATGTAGACACACTAATATTCATTATATAGCATTTATTGATGTGGTGACTGTAATGAAAGTGTGAGGTGTAAGGGTTGTAATTTGCATGTCTAGCCCATGAAATTACTCACCACATGGAGATGAGCCTTCCAGATGGAGAATGTTTGCACGCTGGACACTGATGTTTAATTTTATTTTCTCTCAGCCACTGTAGGGAGTTAGAGAGTTGAAGGAGAAATAAGAGTAATATTGCAGGCCAAACGTGCCAGAGATCAAACAGTGTCATCGCAACCATGGTCGCTTCACCATGAAGGGCTTTGGCATCATCAAGGACAAGCCTGCTGTTGATCAAGTTGTCAAGCTGAGTGCAGCTTCAGAGGAGAGCATGAGGGCCAAGACATGCATGAATGTGGACTGCAAAAAGGGTAAGTGCTGTCACATAAATGGTGTGGCAGTCATCTTACCATCATTATAGGTCATGTCTTCAAGCCTGAAGACATTGTCATCATTTGAGCCCTCACTGATATCAGGATCAAGGTGAGTACAGTTTTTTTTAACTGTCATCATTTTATACAGACAGCAAGTATAGACTGAGACTGAGACTGATTCTAAGGGGCATGAGATCATTGCTCCAGTGCATGCCATGCATCAGAAGTTTGTGCATCTTCAGTGCATGAGCCAATCTTCTCTTGCTTTTTATCAAAAGCAGAAGAATGGCATCATTGTGGTTGATGTGACTAAAATTCATGGCCTGGATAGGCTGCCTGGTATCTCTAAAACTGAGATTGTTCAGTGCATCATTAAGGCCTCAAAAGCTGAACAGGTACAAAAAAACAAGGCTGATCAGAAGAAGAAGCACAATGAGCATCACCAATTGAAGATGAAGGTGAAGGGGGAGGCAAGTAGGACAGTTAAGACAGTGAAAGCTAATGTCAAGGCTCACAAGGTACGTCAATGTTCTGACAACAGAAATATTATCATTAACAAAAGATTTTAGGATAGTGTCAATGCTATCAGGGCTGAGGCTGCAAAGATTTGATTTACATTTCAAAGTATATAGGCTTTTGAACAAATGTGTTTGGAGCAATAACTATAATTGTGAACATTCATATATATATAGCACTGTGTGAAGGCCAATTGAACACTTGTGTGTGGACATAGTTTACAAATTGTAGCATACCTGACATGAATGGCTCAAATTCTGCTCTTATGCTTGGTTATACAGTGGGTGATCAAAGTGTGAAACACTTGCTTGCTTTTCACTACCAGCATTATATTTTCAGCTTTGTTGCAATTATGTTCACCTGTAAAATTTTAAAAATTTGAGAGAGTAGATTTCAAACCTCTGAGCATTATGAAAATGTTTCAGGTGAAGCCTTGAATTAGAATATTGTGCATTCTAACACACCTTAATATGATAGAAGTCTTGCAGGCTGGCAGAGTTTCTAAAAATCTAAGAGAGTAGATCAAATGGCTAAAAATGCCATGCCTGGCCTGTAAAAACTATATAGATATTTCAAGTTAGCTTTCAGATCTTGTACAGACCTTGCAAGGCCATATTGAGAAACACAACATAGCTCAATATCACAGAAATTTGGCATGCTGGCCAGAGTTTCTGAACGTCTAAGAGAGGAGACTGAATCACTGATACAGTCATTGCAGGCCTGTAAAAATTATAAAAATGCTTCAAATAAGCTGTCAGGCCTTGCAAAGCCATGCTGAGCATCTGAACATTGCTGAATATGATAAAAATCTTGCAGTCTGTACAGAGTTCCTAAAACTCTGAAAAAGTAGATTAAATAGTAAAGAAGGTCATATCAACTCAGTTTGCATTACAAAGACACCTCAATTGAGCCTTCAGACCTTGCAAAGCAATATTAAGCATTCTGATATAGCTAGATATGATAGAAGCCTTGCAGGCTGTCAGAATTTTTGAAAATCTGAGAGAATATGTTGAATAGCTGAAAAGGCCATTCCAAATATCTGAGCATTATGAAAATGTTTCAGGTGAAGCCTTGAATCAGAATATTGTGCATTCTGACACACTTTGATATGATAGAAACCTTGCATGCTGGCAAAGTTTCAGAAAATCTAGAGGAGTAAATTAAATGGCTGAGAATGTCATGCCAGGCCGGTGAGAATCATACAGATGTTTCAAGTCAGCTTTCAGATCTTCCACAGACTTTGCAAGGTCATATTGAGAAATCTAACATAGCTCAATGTGATAGAAAGTTTGCATGCTATTCAAAGTTTTAAATTGCTGAAATGGCCTTTGTAGACCTGTAAAAATTATAAAAGTGTTTCAAGTCATCTTTCAGACCTTGCAAAGACATGATAAATCCTGATATGGCTGAACATGGTAAGAATGTTGCAGTCTGTACAGAGTTCTCAAAACTACAAAAGACTAGATTGAATAGTGAAGAAGGCCATGCCACATCTGTTAGCATTATGAAATGTTTCAAGTTGACTGTGAGATCTTGAATAAATCTTATAATGCTCAGATAAATGACAAATAATAGTCACAGAAGAAATGAATGAATGCACATGCTATAACTATTGGATTACAATGTCACACTTAAACACCTGATGCATGCACATAGCATTTTTGAAGAAGACAGTGCACTGAGTTTATAATGACATGATCATTGATCATCTCCTTGTGCTAAAGAGCATAGAAAAAGAAGCTGTTGGTGTCTTGTATATGTAAATGTACAAGCAGTTGAGGTGAATTATCGATAACATTGAGTCAAACACCAGGCTGATGATACATAATTCTTGTATCTGGTGTACAATGAGCAGAACAATCCATAAACAGTAGAGAAAATGATGTGTTCTTGTCAAAAAAAAGATTACGACTGCACAGTGAGCAATTACTTGCTTCTGCTTATCAAAAGGAGCAGGCAGAAGATAAAATGATCATATATGAGACCTCACAATGAGCTACATCCAGTGCTTTCTACAGTGTCAAAATT